ATTAAATCCGTACGGTGTTGCTTCCAACACGTGTGTAGTCCACACGGCACTGTCAGCTGTCTTCGGATAGTGAGGGAGGGATTTAATTTTTGAAAAGCTGTGTTGGCATCCATGATACGTCCATACATACCTGCTCCACTACAACTTAACATTCACACATAAATGTACGCCANATATTAAATCCGTACGGTGTTGCTTCCAACACGTGTGTAGTCCACACGGCACTGTCAGCTGTCTTCGGATAGTGAGGGAGGGATTTAATTTTTGAAAAGCTGTGTTGGCATCCATGATACGTCCATACATACCTGCTCCACTACAACTTAACATTCACACATAAATGTACGCCAAAAACCAACTTCAACAAGCTGAGCTTTCGGCGAAGAAAAAGGGGGGCTATGTGGAGGTCAGGATATGGAGGAGATTCAGGAAGCACAAAGACACGTACATGAAGAGTAGGATCTGAGGGAACCAGTGATAATAGATTACTGTTCTCCGAGGGTCCCCGACTCTTATGACCCCCAACGGCTGCGAAGAGTTGATGGATCTTTAGGAGAATGGGAAAAAAAGAAGTCCACGAAGACTCGCCCACTCTCCGCACCACCCTAGCTTGACTGAGTTCGCTCGGTCACGCTTGGCATTCCTCGCCACATTGCACCAAAGGAAATAGCCAACCTCCGGTGGCAGGACATAGCCACCACAACCCCGGACTCTCCGCTCACCCAGAGTAGAGGGATCCATATATAGCGTGAGCGAAAGGCTACCTGTATGTCTACGGTTTCCCAGACAGCATACAACGATAACTCCACTGTGGGTAACAGGCTCAACAAGGCAGTGTGGTAGCCATCTTGTGTATCTATCTGTATGTTATGTTGGGAAGTTGTAGACGGAAGATTTAGGGGAACTCGGTTTGTTGTCTGCACAAAAACAACGTGCGGCTCAATCAACAACGTCACGCCGCGAGTTTTTCTGAAACCTTCACTTCAAGTTCGGCCGAACCACCTGGGAGCTACCGCCTGGAAATGAGGTCTTTCTGAGAGGATGTGCTTGCTGACGTATTTCTCGGTGCATAATGTCGAACATGGTTGAACTTGAGACGGATGCCGATAGTTGTCACGCGGTGGCCTCCCTCGTATGAAAAAATGGAAAAAGGATCTTGGTAAAACCACGAACACGAACGAACGATGAGGTGGTTCCATCAAGGCTAGAACCGGACAACGAAGATATAATAGTACAAAAGAATGGTTCATTCGTTCATTCTTCCAGAAGATCACATACCAACGGCCTCCAACGATGTCGCAGCTCCTTTATTGTTCTTGCTCCAAGACATTCAAGAATAAAGCATGCCCACGCGGTGTACAGCAGCCCCGAGTGCACCCTCTCCCCCCCCTCCGTTATTTTGGTGTACTGAGGGCAAATTCGTGCCGGGAGATTCCTCGCTACAAGTACGTCGGGGCCCTGAACGTTGTTGTCGGAGCTTGGAGATTGGTTAATGTATGTAGCAACAGGCCTGAAGCCCTTGCCGTGTTTCTCCTCAGAAGCCAAGGGTGCTTCGGCACACGATTCGTACTTCAACAAGCACGCTGATTGCGAACATAATAAGTGCCTCCTCGGTTTGGTCGTCCCGGCTTACGGGATGGATGGCCATGTAAACTTGGTGAGGTGAAGCAAAGAAAGCGACATGTTTTTCGGATACGATGACTTGCGGGCCGCTGGGAGCTTACAGCCACGAACGCCCGAAACACAAGCAACCAGGAAGTATATGACAACGGAAAGGTAGAGGGAAAAGGCGTTGGCTGCCTTGTCTGTGGACCCCGAATCACCGTAGTTGCAAGATTTGGAAAAGGGCAAATGTGCGGCCGTGGTCTAAGTACACAGACACCCCGGGTAGCAACTGCGCGAGCAGCAACACCATCATCATTGGAATCAATTCTAACAAAAACCGGCAAGAGTGCTCGGGAAAGCAAGCTCTTGCATTGCGCTTCCGCGGTTTGCGTTGCGGCTTTGTCGTCACTCGAGAGTCAAAATAAAATAATGCCCAGAATCCTGCAATGCATCTATCTGTCCCAACGACATCATATATCTGAAGGCTTCCGAGACTTCGCAAAGAATGCCCGAAATGAAGCCGTGATCAACCTTAGATGTTTCCGGCCCCACATGCGGCCAAGAGCCTTGCACGGCAGTGTTGGTCGTTGCTGTGTGCATATCACGACTCTAAACCTTCAACGCCATCCACAATGCCAAAAAAACGACTACTGGTACACAAGAAGAAAACACCAACACGACACTTCCGTACAAAACAAAACGCTATCCCAGTCACGAGGAAAACGCTACTCCAGGCATCGGTACCATCTTTTCCACCGTTCCACCCCTCTTTTTCCTGCCACGTCTGGTATACTCGTCCTCGCATCTTGATACATGGCCATGCACGCTTTCGTTACGCGTTGAAGCCGCGAATAAAGTACCTGACCAACAAGTTTTTTCCACTGCCCAACAAAAACAAATAATTCCAACAAGAGAAAAACAGGACAAATAGAACACGCCAATCGACAACGCCCCTACGCCCTAGATACCGCGTGCATGACGTTAGCCCCTCCCGCGAAGCCGACCATTTTCTACGATTGACAACAGGGCAGAACGGTCAACAACGCTTCTCCCCTCGCACAGCAATGACATCGACAACTACGCGCCCCGCTCGGTACACTCCAAGAGCTTGGTGGTGCTGCGCTCCACACAGCCGAGGAGCCGCCGCATGTGCCCCGGGTTCAGGGCGAGCAGCGTACGGTACTTGTCCTTCACGATCGTGTTTGCGAGCTTCTGTCCGCGCGTGAACCACTCTTCGGCCGCGTTGGCGGAGCGCCATCGGAGCATCCACAAGCCGGTACTGTGTGCCACCTGCCCACACGGGGGGGGGG